CCATCTCATTGGGATTTGGGCCATGCATGCAAATGTGGGTGGTGTGTTTTTCCAACCACTGGGGCCAGGATTCAAGCCACAGTCAGCCACGGGGAGCCTGGCTCCCTTAGCCAATAGATCGCAGGGCTGGCCTGAGAATTGACTACTTTCCAATTCATGAACATGGTATATATTAATATATCTTCTTTATTTCAGTCTTTTACTGTAACCTTCAAAAGTGTTTTATATTTTTTTCTAAAAGCTCTTCAGGCATCTTTTATTAGATTTCTTTCTAAGAGTGTTATATTACTCTTGTAAATACTATTATATTTTTGATTGTTTTCTGACAGAGTACTTTTCTTTATGAACATGTCATTCTCTTCTTTTCCAGTAGATGGCATTGTTTCTTCACAAATAGTTTTTTTAATGAAAAAGATTTTAGTTCACTTAAAAGCAGTAAGTCAATTATACTTTAACCTAAATAATAAAATACACCATACTATGTGTACGAGTATCATTACATGACTTCTTTGCATTACCCTTTGGGTAGTGGAAAGTGGGCTCAGAAAACCAACACAAATGCTGATTCAGGCTGCTGCTGTTGCAGTGAGTAATAAACTACACTTTATACCTGCAGGGAAAAAAATCTGTTTTCTTTCCATTATTTTTCTCCCCGACTGAAATGTAAATGACTCACATATTTAAAGGCATTAATCCTGGAAGATTTCTGAGTTATCTCTCTTTATTACATTTAGGAGGATAAAAAAAAGCGAGATCGAGACCGTGTGGAGAATGAAGCCGAAAAAGACCTCCAGTGTCATGCCCCCATAAGATTAGATTTGCCTCCTGAGAAGCCTCTCACAAGCTCTTTAGCCAAACAAGAAGGTTAGAATGTTTCTCTCTCACTGTATAAGAGCTTTAAATGAACTTCAATGTTGAATCAATATTCTCAAATTTCCATCGTATTTTTAAGATAAATGGAATTTCTGTGAGATATATAATAATAGGCAAATAGATAAACCATATAGAGAGCTGATTAAGTACTGTCTAAAGTCTTCCCTTTAAAACATCCTTTCCTTTTCTTTTTTACTTTAGAAGTAGAACAGACACCCCTTCAAGAAGCATTGAATCAACTGATGAGACAATTGCAGAGGTGAGTGTTTCTCCAACATTCTTATAGCATAGACGTTGAAGTGGTAAATATAGACGAGCCAGACCACATCTCCATTTTTTATTGAAAACCACATTTTGTGGCCTAAATCCAAATGTACTTGATTTTAAAGTGAATGATAAATATTTTCCCTGGCAATAGAAATACACCAGGAGACTGACTTTAGATGTTTTTATTTGGCCTATTTTAACTGGCAATGTGAAGAATGTTACATAATACCCTTAGTGACAATTTCTTCTTTATTTTAAGCAATTTCTGATGTTAGCACTTTAACCCAGGAATGCACAATACAGATATTCCCATCTTGCTAATAGATGGACGTACCTCTTGTGAATTTATAGAGTGTTTGTTACG